AAAATGGCGGCAATATTTGGCAGCGTCGTTAGGTAATGTTTTTTTTTTATTTTATTCGTTTTATGGTTTATTTTTATACATCTTGTATATATTTGTATGTTTTGATAAGCTGATATTTAAATTACAAGTCATATACAGGGTGACTGGTGAATTACTATCAATATTTAAGGAGCATACTCGGTACATGATTCTCATTCGAATAATGTAAAAAAAATAGGTACTTAATTTTTGACCAAATTTCCGTATAAATAAATAAAGTGTATACACGTTCCAAGTGTTCCTAGTGTGGACGCGCGCGGCGGCGTGCTGATATAACAACACGCCTCCGCGCGCGTATGTGTGAGTGTGTAGTGTAGAGTAATCTGTAGGGTGTTCATACGATGCGTAATTAATTAAATAACTTTTGGTTAACTTTACTTAGAAGTTTATTAATATTTATGTTATATTAATTTTTATTTCGTCATATATGATCGTCAAATATCACGTCCTCAAATATCGATAGTAATTCACCAGTCACCCTGTATACATATAGCGCCTATTATTTTTAATACAATGTTAATTAAAGTTAAATTTTGAATATATTAATTTGTCTTTTTTTATTAATTCAATTATTATACTAAATTATTAATTATTATTATTTTTAAATGTATTTGTTATATATTTCATTGAAATTATGGATTAAGATGTCTATCAGTCACGAGCTTTATAGAAGGCCAACCAGTTATGGAATTCTAAATATTGTTTTATTTTATATTAAATGTATTTTAATTTCTTATATTATTACTTATTTAATATATTTATTACTTTCCGGTCTTGATTTGATCATATTAATGTTTCGAAAATTTAACCAATCGATATAGTCTCTATGTTTTCTTAATTAAACATAAAAATCGAAATATGACTGTTACATGTATATCATAAGATTATCGATTTTTGGAAAAGATACGGTTTAAAACATATAACTATACTATCTATTCTTGCGTTTTGTTTAAGATATATACAAAGTGTAACGTAATTAACGCACACCCTCAAACACCCCACTTAGAATATAATAATATAAACGCAATGCATACACCAAATATCCCTACTAATATTATAAATGCGAAAGTAACTCTGTCTGTCTGTCTGTCTGTCTGTCTGTCTGTCTGCTACGCTTTCACGCCTAATAGTCCGGGAGGCAGCGGCTATTTTGGTTAGTGTTTTTATGCCGATCTTTACTTCACAATACTAGTGAAGAAGCTCTTTCTAATAACGAAAGTGAAGGTCAGCTGACGCACCAGCGGGGGCGTTTGCTATGAGACCCCATAGAACACGTCAAAAAAAATAAATCTAAAAGTATTTTATTCCACATGAAATTTTTTTCACGTGTTATTGACATTGATTACAATTAAAAGAAAGTAGTCAGCTGCACAACTGAGGGTGGATTATGCGTCAGCTGAGCGTGCGAACTAGCCAAAAATAAAATAAAATTATTTTATGCTGATTGAATTTTTTTTACATGATTTTAGACATTTACAGAAACTTGATATTGATAATCAGCTGCATATATAGTGGGGGAAAACACGTCAGCTAGAGCAGGAACGTATGACTGCGCGCATATATCTCTATGACTCGCGGAATTTTCAATGCTCCGACTGACGCCTTTTTCCCCAACGGACAATCAGCTGACGAATATTTTCTTGTATCTATATATTAACACTATAATATTTATACATTCCATGTCGTCTTTTAACAATTTACCCAAGATTTCACTGTTCACTGCGAATAGTGCTGACACTGTAATAATTGCCTTTGATAGATATATATTTCCATCGATAAAAGACAACGAACACTCATTAAGAAAAAGAACCAAAGGACAGCGTTTCCATATTAATTGACCTGATCAAATACGGCCATCAAATTTCGCGGACGCATTGAAAAATATCTACTTCAAAGAAGCACTCGTTGAGTTCATTATTGATGACTGGGCGAACGAGTATATGGCTTCATTCATCGGCAGCAAAACAATATTGGTCAACTACCTACAATGCTATCAATATAAAGTATGTGAAGGCAAAGTGCAAAGAACACCAGAGTTATCGTTGGCATGCCCAGGTCACGAAGAAGCTGACACCAAAATTGTTTTTCACGTTTGTCACTTGACTTGTGATGCTCACGTTACTATTCGCTGTTCAGATACAGATATTTTAATAATTATGTTGGCAAACATGAATTCTATACAGACCGATTTGCAAATCTCGATGCACGTTGGGACCGGAAACAATCAAAAGTTTATAAATGTCACCAAATTGTCTCAAACGTTGGGTCTAGATTTGTGTTCAGCATTGCCAGCATTTCATGCCATGACGGGCTGTGATCTCAATTCTGCTTTTTACAGAAAAGGGAAGAGAAAACCGTTTCAAATTCTTCGAAAATCTCCAACTTACATTAAAGCATTGTGTGACATTTCCAATTTACCGAATTGTAATCTGGATCAATTGTTTGCAACACTGGAAGAATATGTATGCAGATTATATGTGTTTACGAGAGTCAATGATATCAATGTTGCTCGTGTGATGACGTTCACCAAATCATATGGCAATAACGATGACTGCAATCCATTGAATTTGCAAAAAAGAATCGATGGTTCGTTGTTCCCGCCCTGTAAAGCTAAACTGCAACAACATTTTCTTCGAACGGCATATATCGCCCACCTTTGGAGCCATGCTCACCGTGCCATGCCAACTGACCTGTTGCCAACTGAGTATGGATGGGAAGAATCTGAAGAAAAATATTATTTTAAATGGTTTACGGGTGATCAATTGCCGCTATCCATCACTAGCATCACTAATCTCGACATGAACCCACATGGCATGAAAAAAAAAAATCTTCTTTTGATTTCTGGCAAATAATATTTACTTAAATGATTTTGTTAATTAATTGATTGATATTTTTACAGAGAACGACGAAACCGAGAACGATGGAGTGTGTGACATAAGCATCGATAATTGTGATGACGACAGTGATGCAAAGGAAGATGATTCATAAAAAAATATTTCTTTGATTTATATTAAGATTTTTATGTTAATTTTAATAAAAATAATCGAATAAAATTACGTTTCAATTAATCCGAATATAACAAACTAATAGAAATCATATTAATGTTGTTACCGCTTCACTCCTATGAATCTTGGGTAAATTGTTAAAAGACGACATGGAATGTATAAATATTATAGTGTTAATATATAGATACAAGAAAATATTCGTCAGCTGATTGTCCGTTGGGGAAAAAGGCGTCAGTCGGAGCATTGAAAATTCCGCGAGTCATAGAGATATATGCGCGCAGTCATACGTTCCTGCTCTAGCTGACGTGTTTTCCCCCACTATATATGCAGCTGATTATCAATATCAAGTTTCTGTAAATGTCTAAAATCATGTAAAAAAAATTCAATCAGCATAAAATAATTTTATTTTATTTTTGGCTAGTTCGCACGCTCAGCTGACGCATAATCCACCCTCAGTTGTGCAGCTGACTACTTTCTTTTAATTGTAATCAATGTCAATAACACGTGAAAAAAATTTCATGTGGTATAAAATACTTTTCAGATTTTTATTTTTTAACGTATTCCGCAGCTTCCCAATCTCGCATCCACCGCTACTGGACCAGCTGACGCTCGATTTCGTCATAAGCCACATGCATTCTGTTTTCTATATTAACATCAGCCGGCATAAAATGACTTGTTTAAAAAGCCGCTGCCTCCCGGACTATAAACCACTGAACTGATTTTAATGAAATTCGGTACAGAGATAGAGTTGACCTTGAGAAAGAACATAGGATAGTTTTTATCCCAGAATTTTGAAAGGTTCTCTTGGAAACGCTATATAACCGAACTCCACGCGGCGAAGCTGCGGGCGGAAAGCTAGTCATTTATATGTGCGTTAGCATTTTTTATTTGTGAAATTAGTTATCTCAATTTCGTGCAAATAATATGGTCAGCTATTTAACGAAAACGCTACCAAAACCCTTTGAAATATAACAAAACAATGTATAGTGGAATTGTGTATTTAATATACGTCTCCAGAAAAGATGGCATATGTTTATCTCTTAAGAATAACATTCTATATCCATTTTACTACTTTTAAAAATTGCCATTCATGAAGCGTTTATAGGAAAGCTATTTTTACAATTACACTATTAAGTCTTATCAAAATAAATTACTTGCTGTTCAAGCCTACATCAGTATTTATAAATAAAATTTTTGAATTATTTAATTCGGATATACTATTTGAAAGTTAACACAAGTTTAATAATTCTCAAAATTAAATCCACACTATAGCTCACTTATTCACATGATCGCGTCATTAATTTTGTATATAATTTTTTTGTAATTTAATTTTATATAAAAACTATTATTAACATAAAAATGTGTATAACGTTTTTCTAAGTCCAAACTTATTTTATGTTTAACGAAGAAAGGTGATGATATTTTTGTTTGTCTGGATTTAATTCAAAAAGAACATTCAAAAAAGATTCATTATACGTAATACAGGCTATTTTATATTATTTGTAAAGTATCCCTGCGAAGCTGGGATGGGTAGTATGCAAATATATTATTTGCCTTTTATTATATTCACTTGTAAGTTATCAAAACATTTAATCGTATTTATCTATAAGTTATCATTATATACGATGATTACCATATACTTTATATATTAGGTTCTTCTACCTGGCAATTTCCCAGCTTTAATCAGGGTCTGCCTTACATATTGTGAATAGTTTTGGCTAATTGTTTTTACTACCGGCCGCCTGCCTGACATCAACCCTCTTTGGGAATGAATTAATCAGTCATGTCTAAATACTCTTCGAAAGTACATATGACTCTAAAAAATCACATTGGTACTTGCCGGGATCGAACCCGCGCACTGGTGCATGAGGGGCGGGCCTTTTAACCACTAGGCCACCACTGACTAATATACCTTATATATTCTATTCAGCAAGTTACGGCAGTCTCTGTACCGGCATGTCAATGGGTTGGACCTCGCCCATATTCCCTCATCTAAGGTCTATCGACTCCCCTCTATCAGAACCACCGACCTTACAACAGGAATCATGGATAGGATCGCTATTGGTGCTTGGAGGATTATTGGGTTAGTATTACATTTGTACCAAAAAAACTGTTTTTTGTATCCATATGACGATAAAATATTGATGGTGTTAATGGTTTTACCAGAATTTACTTAGTTTATTCTGAATTTAGAGGTCGTCTAAATTTTTGATTTTATTATTTCTTATATTTATTTATTTTGTTATTTGTATTAAACGAAAAGAAATATGTTTTTTGAAATCGTCTATACGTAGACTAATTTTGTTTTATACTATTCCTTTGATTAATTTTCTAAACAACACCAAAAAACATGAATGTATCCACATTGAAATCTAAAATAAATTTTAATAGGATAAATCTAATATTATTTAAATTATCGAATATAAATAAACTAAGTAATTTTATTTCATACAATTGATTTGATTAATTTACTAAACATAAAAAAAAACCGTAAACCGTACCTTAATATTTAAAATGAAATCAATGTAAAAGCAAGTAAAAAATCTGTATAATTTCTATTAATCTAGGTCCATTGATAACAGTACCGTTATCAAATAGGATTGGTAGACGTTATATTATCATGAGCTCCAATATTCCTCTACTCCTGGGTTGGTTGCTGGCCGGAGTAGCTTCTGACCTGGCCACGTTATACGCAGCTCGTATAATGTGGGGTTGTGCCACAGGCATGCAATTCGCCACAGTACCTTTGTATATCGGTGAAATAGCTGAGGTGGGTAGTTTGGAATTAATCCCTACTAATATTATAAATGCGAAAGTAACTCTGTCTGTCTGTTTGTTACTCTTTCACGCCTAAACCACTGAACGGATTTTTAGGAAATTTGGTGCAGACATAGAGTTGATCGTGAAAAAGAACATAGGATAGTTTTTATTCCAGACTTTTGAAAGGTTGTCTTGGAAACGCGATATAATCGAACTCCTCGCGGGCGAAGCTGCGGGCGGAAAGCTAGTTCTTATTATAAAAGTGAAAGATTGGTATATTGAATGGATTTTGAAGAAATTGTCCATAAAAATAAGTTTAGACATCAGAAATTTATTTATATTTAACTAATATTTTTCGGATATATGTATTTTGCGACTTTATGTCTGTAAAAAACTGCATATTCCCGAAATTCGGCTACTTTTCAGCAACCGTGATCACGGGCAGACGAATAGTTTGTTACAAATATAAAGTACGTGTAATATATCCGAGGAATATTAGTTTAATTTATGTTTATGTCTGTGTGTGTGTCTGTATGTCAATGTATACTTAATTTGTTATAGTTTGCATAGGATCATAACAGTTGTATATAATATGAAGTTCAGTAAGACAGATGATAGATATCGCCACTCGCTGATAGATTTTACAATATATATTAAACATTACAAGTTATTAATTGCTCAGGTGAAATAGATCATTTAAATCTCTGTCAAGACTGGACAATGATTTTTGAGAAAGGTTTTGTTAAAGTTTTATAATTCAACTTGTTTCTTTGAATCATTGGTTCATTACATGGCTTTAAGAAATAGTTGAGTAGTTAGTAAGAATATACATTTGTGTTCATAATTCAAGTGAAATCCTTCAGACAAAGAATAAATTCAAGAAGACAAAGTAGTAACTATTTTTTTTTCGTATCATCCATAAATAGATATAATAAATTTATCTGTATTTTGCATCATGTTTTCTCAGCTAAGTTTAAAGAAGTTTGCTTTTAATATCAAGTAGATATTTAAATCCAATTTCTCCAAATATCTCCAGGATAAAATCCGCGGTTCCCTCAGCGCCCTCTTCCTTCTGTTCATCAACATTGGCTTCCTCCTCGCGTATTCGATCGGTCCCTATTCTTCATACTGGGGCCTCACAGCTACAGGCGGTATACTATCTCTGTTCTATATACCGTTCACTTGGTATATACCGGAGACGCCGTTCTTCCTCGTATATAAAGGTTAGATATATAAAAAGTTACCTATTTTTTTTCTTGATTGTTCTCATTTACACCACTTTTCCTCAAAGTGAGCATAATACCTGTTTTTGGGATCATAAGCGCAAAGAAAGGCGGAAAAAAACGGGGTTCTGTATAAAAACTGGGGGGTGATTGGTAATTTAATTTGTTTACGACAGGCTATAGTAGTTTTTCAGGGTCCTAATTATAATTTATTTCTCAAAGTGGGCATTCAACAAAATAAGTTTTCGAACCCCTGATCTACGCTAGAAACTCTTTAACTAGTTCTTAAACCTATTTTTGATAGTAACTCCACCAAAAATCTTCCATAGTTACTTTACATAAGTATCATGTCTATGTCTTCATTAATAAAACAATTCTGATGTTATAATGTACGAAATTTTTTTGACAAAAAAAGTAGGAAACACTCCCAAAATATTATAGATTAGGCTTCTGATACTAATATCTTCTCATTATTTTATTAGGTAAAACGGAAGAAGCTATAAAAGTATTGAAACAATTACGAGGAAAATCCAAAGAAGCAGTTCAAGATGAAGTGGACGGTCTACAAGCGATGGTTCAGAGAGAGTTTAAGACTGAACCCAGCGTTAAAGATCTGTGGGCCACTTCGGGAAACTTGAAGGCTTTGGGTAAAATACTATTATATATATACAAAAGATATAATATATGAAATTTTAACATAATTTTTTTTATTAATCTTTATGTAGATTTATTTTTATACCTAATACCATCGTTTCGGTTACTTTGCAACAATCGTGATCAAGAACAGACCATATGAATATTTTTGTTAATGTTTTGTTCCAATCAACATATTATAAATATCATTTTTATGATACATTGTGTATATTTCTTCCAGGTATATGTGTGTTTCTGGCCATGTTGCTTCAACTGTCAGGTATCGACGTGTTATTATTCTATATGGAAGAACTTTTGGAGAAAGTTGGAACTAAGATATCTGCTTCTGATGGTACCATCATTATGGGAGTTGTACAGGTATGAAACAATATATATACATATATATATTATAGAACTACGAAAATCAATCAATTGTCCTTCAAAAATTCTCGATAAATTTTTGATATAAAAACCAATATAGTATAATATACTATCAATAGTTATTGTTTTGTTGTTTAAATATAACACAACTGAAATTTGACTTACTTCTTGGTATATTTGATAGAAAACTATTTTCTTATGTATTGAAGACTACCTATATACAGGGTGACTGGTGAATTACTATCAATATTTAAGGAGAATACTCGGTACATGATTCTCATTCGAATTATATAAAACAAAATAGGTACTTAATTTTTGACCAAATTTCCGTATAAATAAATAAAGTGTAGACACGTTCCAAGTGTTCCAAGTGTGGACGCGTGCGGCGGCGGGCTGTTACAACACCACGTGCGGAGGCGTGGTGTTGTAACAGCCCGCCGCCGCACGCGTGTGTGTGTGTGTATACCTAATCTGTAGGGTGTTCACACGATGCGTAATTGATTACATAACTTTTGGTTAACTTTACTTAGAAGTTTATTAATATTTATGTTATATTAATTTTTATTTTGTCATATATGATCGTCAAATATCACGTCCTCAAGTATCGATAGTAATTCACCAGTCACCCTGTATATTAAAGTATATATTGTATGTCAGGTTGTAACTAGTTGTATAACGCCGCTAGTAGTGGACAGACTCGGACGGAAACTACTCATGTGGACCACGAGCCTCGGACTTAGTATATTCCTAGTGAGTATATTACAATTATATTAATACTAGCTGCCCCCCGCGGTGTTACCTGCGGATTTCCATGATGTAAAGTAGCCTATGTGTTACTCCTGGACGTCAGCTTCCTGTATACAAAACTTTATCAAAATCGGCTCAGCCGTTTGAGCGTGAAGAAGTAACAAACATACTCTCTCACAAACTTTCGCAATCATAATATTAGTAGGATATTACAATACTATATATATAATTATTTGTGTACAGTAACATACAAACTACTTTCGTCTATATGTAAAAACTAAAGATATATTACCAGGTAAGTTGAAAATAAGAAATTCAGAGAATATAATGTCTATCATTATAGTCTAGTCAACAAGTACTCTTTTGGTCCAAACTTTTTAAGCCTAGAAAAAATATTGTTGAAGCTCATTTTATTCGGGATCGCATCTAAAAATTTTTTTAATTAAAAACTATAGTTATACTAAAATATCCATACATATATATATTAAATATTTACTTAATTACATCCCTACTAATATTATAAATGCAAAAGTAACTCTGTCTGTCTGTCTGTTACGCTTTCACGCATAAACCAATGAACTGATTTTAATGAAATTTGGTACAGAGATAGAGTTGACCTTGAGAAAAAACAGGACAGTTTTTATCCCAGACTTGAAAGGTTATCTTGGAAACGCGATATAACCGAACTCCACGCGGGCGAAGCTGCGGGAGGAAAGCTAGTCTTTTAATATATTGTTCTCGATTCCTCCAGAGTATAATAGGTATCTACGCGTTGTTGGACTCACACTTCAAGTATAACGTTGAACCTTACGCCTTCCTTCCTCTACTTTGTCTCGTTATATACATGGTGTTGTTTACTTTGGGTGAGTTTTATCATTTATTTTATTATATTTTTGAATTTTTCTTCTTTGCACAAAAGTATTCACATTTAAAGTAAATTGTATGGGTTATTGTACTAAATAATTGAATGAATACAATGGTTTCATATACTATTGGAGTCAATTATTAAGAAAATAAACGCTCATAAAAATTATTAGTAACGACGCAAGAACTGGGGACTCGGTCAAGAAACCATCAATGCGTAACGAAGTATTGAACGTGCAACATCAAAATTTTACATCTATACAAAATAAATAGCATTAAGTCAGTTTTCTTTTACTTTAACCTGCGCATTCACCATATGTATATGTGCCTTAGTTTAATTAGTTTCCTATATAACAAGATATCTTCAATAAGTTTATTATTCAGTACATATTGACCCCCGTGTCCGTGTATTATTATTTATATTATTATTTTATTATTATAATATTCCAGGCGTGGGTCCGGTCCCGTGGGTGCTAGTCGGTGAGATGTTTCCTCCTCGCAGTAAATGTCTCGCCAGTGGCGTCGCGTCCTTCATGTGTTGGCTCGCGGGCTTCATATGGACCAGGTGAGAGAAAACACACAAAAATACACTTTAATATGATAAATATACGTATATGTAATAATTAAAAGGTTTCTTTACTGATGATGATGAGGTAATAGCGTGATATTAATAACTATTTTTATCGTAAAATGAAGATTTAGTGCGGATTAATGAAATCAAATCACTCTCTATAATAAAGTCCTAACTTAAATTTAGTACGTGAATTTTGTTCTTGTGTAAGTCTGTATCATGTTTAAAAACATAAAATTCATATAAGTAAGTCAAATTTATTGAGATATTGTCAAAATATTAAGGCACGCTTCTCATGCATGAGGGCGCGGGTTCAATCCTGGCAAGTACCAATGTGATTTTTCCGAGTCAAATGTACTTTCTAAGAGTATTTAGACATCACTGACCGACGGCGAAGGAAAACATCGTGAGGAAACAAGGATTTATAACTTCACAATTATAAGTTTGACATCACCAACCCGTCTTGAGCAAGCGTGGTGATTAATGCTCTATGAATATATTTGTGTTTATGCAGTTATGATATGAAATACTCTAAATATTAATTTGATGGGGTTCAATAGTTCTTTAAAACCCTAGTGTTATATATTATTTCCCCACAGTGCTGCCATCTAGTCAGTCCCTATTCATTATATATATTATCGTATGTTTGTTCCAGATTCTTCCGCGAGGTGGCCGCGTCTTCCGGTATGTACACAGCCTTCTGGGTGCTGTCTGTTTGTTGTTTCCTGGGCTTCATCTTCTCCGTGAGCCCGCTGTTACCGGAAACGAAGGGCAAGACATTCGACGAAATACAGGATATGCTTAATAAGAGGTATACTTACTTACAGTTCTATAGTGTTCATATAAATTACAGGATTTTCTTTAATTTAGTATTTGGTCTTTTTGACATCCTAGTTTAAATCTTACGAAAAGAAATGTTGGCCATTCTTGTGTGGATTCTTTAATTTTATGAGCAAAAACATATGGACCATGTTAAGGCCCTAGTGACTCTAAGTTCATTGTTAAAATTTGAAAACATTTTTTTCTTTTTGGGTGAGACTGTATCCTATAAGTTAACCGTAACATATTCTTATATTATTTATTTCTTTTCTCTTTATTCCAGAACACCGGACCCAAAGCCCGAGGCCGTATAAGCTACACATATAATCTGTAACCATAAAAACCAGTCGCCGTTGAATTAAAACGCCCCCTATACAGTACACAATATATTTTCGATACAATCCTATGAATACATCAATAACATTATCTCTGCGCCTGGGCCGCGCAGATCCTCAGCCCCAGCGCCTCCCTCCCGATCTCCGCCACGCCGCACACGGCGCACAGCTTGCCCCTGTGCTCGGGCATGTAGCTCGCGCCGCATAGCGGGCAGCGCTCCTCCGGCTTGCCCCTGTATATCGGCTTGTAGCTCATCCCGCATATGTTGAAGGGGTTGTGTTCGTCGTAGGCCAGCCGGTGTTCGTCGCTGGGCGTGTTCTCGCACGCCTGTAGTATCTTCCTCGCCTGCTGCGCCACTTCCGGCCTGGGGCCCAGCTCGAGCAGCCTCCTCGCGAACGAGGCGGCCGTCTTGTAGTTCTTGAGCTTGAAGAACATGTTGAGCGCCGTGCGTAGAGTCAGGATCTGATGCACGGGCTGCAGCTTGCAGTGCGTGAAGTAGGCCGCCATCTCGCACGTCCGGATCTGTTCCTCCAGAGTGTTCTTCGGCATTGCTGAGGAGAGCCATTATAATAATATATATATCGTTATATAGGATCTTGGGAGCGAAACGTAAATGTGACATAATAAAATTCTAAAGAAATATTCCCCTTTTTTTATAACTATTAAAAGATACCTAAAGTGATCAAATCAGCTTTTCATTTCATATATAATTAACATTTATTATGAGAATATAAGAAATTTCAATTAAGTAGTAATACCAATAAATTTCTTCACACTGCCGTATTTTTGAAAGTTTTTATTTCCAAACAAGTATAAAAAATTAGTAAATTATAGAGACTGACTTCCGAATACATATATAAAAACTAATGTTTATATGTAAAATGTATTCTACTGTACGATTTTCTGAATTTTGAATTGTGAAAAGTGTAATATCATTCAACATTATAACAAAAAAACTTATTTGTATATCTATCAGCCTATTCGATTTTCAAATAGATTAATTGAAATATTAAATATACAACTAGAAATTCATACATTTGTGCAGGATTTGAACTTGAAACTTCCGTATCTTGTCCCAGTGTCTTAAATGTTTAGCTAACGAACTATAAAATTTATCCTTATACCCATTTTATATTTATATCAAACTCATCATCATATCAAACTCATCATCACACCAAACTCATACTCATCACATATACTCATCACCCCTATAACTCACCCTTCCTGGCGCTCTCCATCCTGAGCCCCAGCAGGTATTCCCTGCTGATGGCCAGAAGCTGCTGCGCCTCCGCCAGTTCCTGGCGCGTGTCCACAACCAGCAGTGGCACCAACCTCACCACGCGCTCCAGACGGACGAGCGCCTCCGGGAACTTGCCGCTAGTCGTCAGTTGGTAGCACTGCTGTAGTTGATTCACTAAATCCGTCAATTTGGCGGCTGGGGAATACGTAATACTTGAATTTATTATACACTAGCTTTCCGCGTGGAGTTCGGTTATATCGCGTTTCAACGAGAACCTTTCAATAGTCTGGGACAAAAACTATCCTATGTTCTTTCTCAATGTCAACTCTATGTCTGTACCAAAGTTCATTGAAATCGGTTCAGTGGTTTAGACGTGAAAGCGTAACAGACAGGCAGTCAGACAGAGTTACTTTCGCATTTATAATATTGTAGGGATTAAGTAAGGTTTTAGTATATTAGTAATCGTTCTTTTGACGTAGATTATTTTTTTGTATGGCGTACATCTACTTTTAATAAAATTACAAATGAGAAAGTTTGTGTGAATGAATATACTGAACGGATTTTGCTAAAATTCCCAATATATCAGACTGTGGCTTAGACATTAGAACAGAAACGTATAGATTGTAATTTAAACCTTCATCCCATATAGTTTGCGCGGGAAAATATAACAGTTGTAAGTAGAAGTTCCGTAACACAGACGATAGATGTCGCTGTATAATGAAACACAATCTAGTATAACAAACTCACTGATAACAGGTAAGAGGTCTTTCCCGCTTGCCTCCTTCCAGTTTCTGTGTAAAGAAGTCACTAGCGGGGGTAGTTGAGGCAGACCAGCGAACATGACCCTCGATGTAGAATACATTGACAGGAATATCTCTAAATAGGGCTCGAAGTTCACAATACCGACTTGCTCGTTCAGTAACCTGAGGATTTTATAGATTTTAGGCAATAACCAAGAAAATTATTTGAACTTCTCAGATATAACTTTACATATCTTATGAGGAAAAACAAATTTCAAAGACAAAGAAGTGTTGTCAATTCAAAATCTCTAAATATATTTAAAAAACGATTAAGATATTAGATGATTACACTAATCTTGTTTAATATCACTACTGTTTATTATTTGTAATCTTAATTGTAGTTATAATTTTTAACCTATTATAATTTCCTTTGTAAGCGAACTTTGTTCGTTTTGGAAATAAATTTCTTTAAACCTAAAGACCCTTTATTTTGCAATACGATTAATTACTTCATTGCTAATATAAACACTTACTACTATTATAATAATCGGTTTCAAGACCATATAAAGATTTTTTTATATAAGTTATAATAAAGATAAATAAATTGGTCCGAAACTCCTCTTATTAACTGGAAAATTGAATATACCCATTGTATACCTCAAATTAGGCCTAAAATCTTTTTATTTACCTCATAGCTCCTTCAATGTTTCCTGTGGCCACGTGGTCGTGCGCTGTCCTCAACACGGCGGGTGCTCGCGAGCCGCGGGGCGGAGCAACGAAGAATGAAGACTCTGATGATTCTTCGGCTGTAACATATATTAAGTCAGAGATTCAGAAACTTTTTTGCACATTATGAAAATAAATTACATTTTAAGAACCCCCAATTTTTAATCCTAATTAAATCAAATAACAAATCACCCCTAGGACCCTATAAAACTTCTCCATTTTATTTCTGGGTCTATTGAATTTCTTACATTTTCACCAGTTCACATTAGTTAGCAAAGTCAAACTAAATTTTATTTCTATATGAAATTACCTACATTAATATTAACATATATATCCATCGCACGGTATCCCATAGTTTCTTAATCTTATAGATATTCAGAATCCATTACATCAGTAACCCATTATATAAGTAACACTTTACATAAGTAACCCATTACATCAGTATTAATCTTACCAGCAACAGGCGGTAGTTCAGGCAGGTCCAGATCTTCATCTCCAACGTCCCAGCCTCCGTCCTCACAGGCATCCTCTTGATCTATTACCACTTCACCATCAACCTCCTGAAAATATACATTATGTATTTACATATTTATACATTTATATTTGACTGAACCATTATTCAATCTCATTGAATATAAAATCAGGAAACATATTTGAAAAGGGTAATAACTTTTTCATACAAGTTATCCTACTTCCTACTAATATTATAATATCGAAAGTTTGTGTGTGTGTGTATGTTTGTTACTTCTTCACGCTCAAACGGCTGAACCGATATTGAGAAAATTTTGTATACAGGAAGCTGACGTCCAGGAATAACACATAGGCTACTTTACAACCCGGAAATCCGCGGGTGACACCGCGGGGCGCAGCTAGTATGACTATAATTTAATAAGAAAAATAATAAAAATGTATATTCTACTATGTATGATCATCAAAATAATATAAGTACCTTAGTATCTCCCAGATCATCATCTCCCCAAGCACCTGCCGCTTCAAGAGGTTCATCTTCATGTATAGCGTCCTGGCCCGCAGCCCCCGCTGGAGCCCCCGGAGCACCCGACCGAGCACCCGCTACTTCGAAGAAGCTCCTACACACATAACAGATTATATATATTATACTAATTTCTAATAACTTATGTAACACAAACTAAAAACAATATCCGTTTATTTAATCCCTACTAATATTATAAATGCGAAACTAACTCTATCTGTCTGTCTGTCTGTTACGCTTTCACGACTAAACCACTGAACTGATTTTAATGAAATTTGGTACATATATAAAGTTGACCTTGAGAAAGAACATAGGATAGTTTTTATCCCAGACTTTTGAAAGGTTCTCTTGGAAACGCGATATAACCGAACTCCATGATGGCGAAGCAGCGGGCGGAAAGCTAGTATAGTAAATAAATAATTTAATTTATTCATTTTCATCAAAAAAAATTTAAGTGTAGCAACACATTAAACACCTATCACACCATTCTCAAACCTTGTAAACTTTATAACATAAAATTATCTACATCTTCTATTATAACACTTTACCTTAATATGCAAAACATATTTCTATATAATCTAATACTTTCTTATATATATGTATATAATAAAATACTAACTTAGATATAGATAGCAGCGGCCAGTTAGATTGAGCTTTCTGTACAGGTACAGGTGGCCTTAAAACGACTGCTTTAGGGTTTTTATTAGGTACTGGTAAATTAGCCGCTTCTAACGCCACTTTCAATTGCTCAGCCTCATTTGTTTGCTTGTGATTGATCGCTGTTAGATATGCCAGGGAGAGCTGGAAAATATTATATTAATTAGATTTTATATATAGAATAACTATAAAAATCATATTCTTAATATATTAGCTTTAGTCCGAAACTTTGGATAAGTGGTATCTGTATTAATGTTTATTTAAATAAGTTAAGAAGCAACATCCATTGTGCCGTCACACTAAATATAATGTCTGAGTGCTAAAAACTTTTTTAGCATATTGTATGTGAGAGCGACACATCCATGTGTTCTTACAAATCATTGTAAGTATAATGTATGACACTTTAACATTATATACATATGTTATACATGTATTAAATGTCATATGAATATAGTATAAGCAACCCTCTTCTTTGATTTATTAAAGTATACACTAATTAATCGTTTTTAAAAGGATAACAAGATCAGTAGTCTTGTAGTAAGTATTTCTAATGCTTGTGAAGCGTTGGAACAGTTGGAGCTCTGTTAATTCGGTAACACAAGTCATTTTATTTTATTGTTAAATTCTGTGATGTATCCATCATCATTGTGTATTAATGTGATTAATAAACCAATAAATTTATTTCATTAATTTCTAAAAATTAGTAAATAGTTTTTTTTATGTTATTTATACTTCTGAATATAAAAATATTATATCAGTTTCACAGACCTGGCCAGCATTTTTCAGCAGCCGTATCCTTTCAGCCACATCTCCTAATAGTAAAGCTCCTTGGAATTGTGATGACACATCTTTCCTTATTTCCGCTATTTTCATCATTTTCCTCAACTTGTCAAGGTTGCCGGTAATGAGGTATAAAAACGAGAGCTTGTCGAAGTTCTTTGTACGTTGGTAGCACATTTCTACAATCTGATAAAAAAAATTAAAGCATATTTATAGTTTTCTTTATATAAATTTCAAGACTGTTCATAGATTATGAAATATATATGATTAGATTATTTTTGGTAGGACTCTTTCAACTAAATAAAAATATTTTATAGTATAGTAAGTTTAGATATAAGAGAGATTGTATTCAAGGAAGAAGTCATTAAATTACATGCATATGCTTGCTAGTATGTACTAGAGAATATGCAAATGACTAAAAAACATTAATTCTAACAGAAGGTTTAATAAAAATTAATATACTCAAAAAATTATCCTAACATTCTGTGTAACATATAAAAATGTGTTATTTTTCACAAATCTTTTAATTGTTACTATTAGCAGTCTACATTATAGGCTACAATTACTCAACAATTCTCTTCTAGCTAACCAAGAAGTTCTTACAAAAGAATTAATATCATATAACGCTATGGTTGTCAATTATACCTGATGATTGCCAGCATTCCTTGCAGCATCAGCCAGTTTCTCCCAAGCATCGGGGTCGTCTAAACTCTTAGCAGCTTCTAACGCCACTTCTATATTACCACACTGTAAGGATAATTCCAATCTTGTTCGAGCATCCTTCACGAAATGAAGAGCTACTTCCGGATAACCTGAAATGAGATGAAAAATTATAAACACCATGTATAATAAAAGAATTTGAGTATACAGGGTGACTGGTGAATTACTATCGATACGTGAGGACGTGATATTTGACGATCATATATGACAAAATAAAAATTAATATAGCATAAATATTAATAAACTTCTAAGTAACGTTAACCAAAAGTTATGTAATTAATTACGCATCGTGTGAACACCCTACAGATTAGGTATACACACAGAAACACACGCGCGCGTTGCTGATACAACACCACGCCGCCGCACGCGTCCACACTTGGAACACTTGGAACGCGTCCACACTTTATTTATTTATACGGAAATGTGGTCAAAAATTAAGTACCTATTTTTTTTACATAATTCGAATGAGAATCATGTACCGAGTATTCTCCTTAAATATTGATAGTAATTCACCAGTCACCCTGTATATGTATACATATTACAATGAATTAATTAGGGCTTAGCCTTATATTATTATCATATATTATTACATACATTCTACTCTTTTCTTAAAAACTCTGACGAAAAAAAATTGTTTGTATTGTAATGTCAACTAATTAAACTTGTACATATCCAAAAGTAAAATTTTATCATTTCGTTTTTGCAGATAACTTCTCTATAAATAAAATCAATCAAATTTCTATATCTTCCTATTAAGTAAAAGTTATAGTGTGTAGTCTTAGTCTTAACAATACCTTTGTCTTGTAAGTAAGCTATGATGCTCTGTCCGACCAGCTTAGCTGTTCTCACCATATGAAGAACTTGGTCGTATTGACGGGTCACCAGAGCCAGCTTGAATCTGTTAAATATATGAATAACTTTTTATATTATAATTATGAGAAAAAACCCACATTAGATGCCTAATGAAAAGTAAATAATATTTTCAACTAGGTATATGGTTGATTCAAGTGTTTTTCGGAATTTAAAATCAATATATCCAATAACTATTTTAGACTCATGTATTTTAAGTATCTGATGTTATTACAAACAAATTATTAATGGATACTTTGGAATATAAATATTTTCTAAGAACATATACTTATTGTTCTTATATGTTGAGTATATATCATACACTTAATACATGTAAAACAGCATAGCAATTTTAGCAATATCCAGATAATTCGTTCTTTAAATAATTAATATATATTTCAAATCTGGTATAAGTTATCAATATATTGTCTTAATAACTTCTTACCTGTATTCTGTGGGATCAATGTTGAGTACTTTAGGTCGGGCCTCTCTATCTAGACATACAACTCTCGCCCCGGCTTCGTTCGCTATCACTTTCACCGCATACACCGGCACATCCAACGTACGAATAATACCATGATCTCTGGAATAATATATATAATACATTAATATAAATTATACATTATAATTGTTCCTATTATCTTCTTCTACCTGGCAATTTCCCAGCTTTAGCCAGGGTCTGCCTTACATGTTGTGAATAGTTTTGGCTATTTGTTTTTACGACCGGCCGCCTGCCTGACATCAACCCTCTTTTGGGATTCAGCATTAATCAGTAATGTCTAAATAGTCTTATAAAGTACATATGACTCGGAAAAATCACATTGGTACTTGCCAGGATCGAACCCGCGCCTTCATGAATGAGAGGCGGGCCTTTTAACCACTAGGCCACCACTGACTCTTTTATATAATTGTTTCTATTATATATTAGATAAATTGTTGATGTTGAATACAGAATTGTAAAATTGTATGGAATAATTATATAGGCAAGATTAATCAAATAAAAGGAAATCTAACACTCATAATAATAATTTTTAAGTATTCATTGTGTTATACTAACATATATATAGATTTTAGTAGTTAATTATAGTATTTATTTAATATTTAATACACATACCCTTCTTTGCAGCAATATTTGATATGATTGGCTGTAGTGTAAATAAAGACCGGGTGTGAATTTGAATCATCAAAAGCTCCTGATTTTACTCGCGCCCCTTCAGTGATAGAACATAACTGTTCTAACTTCTTAGTACATATAGTCACCGTATGCTTTCCAAGTAGCGCTACTAGAGACATATCCGAATTCCAAATAGCATAACGGCATTTAGATACTTTCACCTGAAAATAATTTAAATATACATACAGATATTTTAATGAAATCCAAAAAAAGTGATGTCAATTTATTCAGAAATTCAGAATATTGCAATTTTCTGAATTATTATGTGGATCGTACAAAATGTCTGTTGCATAAATTAATGATATTTTACTCTATGGCGTTCGTTGAATGGTTAAATAATGTAAATATTAAAATTTTATATTATAATTTTCTATAATAAATTAATTGATAATTTAACAGCAATAACACCATAAATTGCTCTACTTTCGGCAATTTTATGAACTATTAAGTGGTTAATGAAAGATATTGTTTACAAAATGTATATTACATACATTTACAACATTTTACTCTGACATTCATTGTATTGTAAAAAAATGTAAATATTTACACTTCTATATTAACCTTTCTATAGCAATCACATAGATATTATTTAGAAGGAGTTATCCTACTAATATTATAATTGCGAAAGTTTGTGAGTGTGTGTGTATGTTTGTTACTTCCTCACGCACAAACGGCTTGACCGATTTAGATAAAATTTTGTATACAGGAAGCTGACGTCCAGGAATAGCACATAGGCTACTTTATAACCCGGAAATCCGCGGGGCACAGCTAGTAGTTATATAAATGTTTCATAACTCACACTGGCGACGGTTCTTTTCTGTTGTACGTCTAGAAGCTGTACAGCATCAGCCTCTCTCAATAATAACATCCCGGTACCAGCGTACATGATCTCTTCACACGTCGGAGTAGCTATCTTCTTGGAAACCTCGTTCTTCAGATTCTTTATTATCAGCTGAATATAATAAAACTTTATTAATATATCATTATATCAAAGAGAGAAGAAGAGCATTAACCACCATGCTCGCTCAAGACGTGTTGGTGATTTGAAACTTGTAATTTAAGATTATAAGTCCATTTCCTCACGATGGTTTTCTTCACCGTCTATCAGTGGTGTATGAATACTCTTAGAAAGTATATATGACTCGGAAAAATCACATTTTAAATATTTTTTGTTAACTGTAGTTGTAACATCTTAGATACATAAGTTTTTTTTTGATCGAACAGTATTAAATATCCCATGTTCGTCTCCTTCAGCAATGTAACCATATCCCGACAGAATTTTTTTTATAACTAACACAATTTTCTTTCATACATATAGATATTCAATAGTATCACGCTTTAATCAACTATAAATACCATATAAATTAAGTGATCAAATTAAGTCAAGTTGTAAAAATAACTGGGATTAAATGACATTATGTTTGATATTTAGTGACAATAGAGACGTATTATATATATATGTGTGTGTGCGTGTGTGTGTGTGTGTATGTGTGTGTGTATGTGTGTGAGTGTATGTGTGTGTGTGTGTATGTTTGTGTGTGTATGTGTGTGTATGTGTGTGTGTGTGTGTATTACCTGATTATTCTTCTCTAACACAGCAAATCTATTCCTAGCGACCCAAACAGCTGTAGTAGCATGACCCCTCATTGGTTCAGCGGTACTTGCCGTCTCGCCGTCTCTTGATACGTTGTATAGTTCGTATGTGTGTGTGTCACCAACACGCCACGATACAAGCACGCACCATTCAGCGTGGTTTAATGACATACTGCAAAGGATAATCGACTTTATGTGTATAGAAATATGACTATTTTGTATCAAACTAAACTATTTTCGGATTTTGCAAAGTATAATCGACTTTATTTATATAGAAATATGACTTTATTTTGTATCAAACTAAACAACGCTTTTGGAGTTATATGTTTGTATTATTATGCATTTTTTGCGGACAGTTTGTTTAGAGTTATTGTTACCATCGAAATAAGAGATGAACGGAATCACTTTATTGCAATAAAATATTCCAAATAAATCTAGATATCATTATGTCTAAATTAAGCTGATTAATATAAGAAAATTAGTGTGTATTTTTGATATGGAATTACATAACTTGAAAGTTTCATAGGAATAGTTTGATTAAAAAATAAACAAACATCCATACATTCTAACAAACTTTATACCTGTAAGGTTGATGTCTTCCTCCACCTTTAATCTGCATAACAGGAGCATCTCTGTTAGTTGACATATCCAGTTTACGAAGCTGTCTGTTAGAAAGAGACAAAATATATAAAAAATTTAATTGTCTATGGTATAAATAATTGTTTATGTCTTACTCTTTTTTTAATAATATATAAAGTAAATTATAACAGAGATTGCAACTAGTATTAGAAAATAAAATTGTAGTTAATGAAACAATAAAAATGTTATTGTTGTTTATAATCAATTAGTTTCACAAAGTCATAAAATATAATAAAAATTTTTGTTTCAATAATTATGCACATACTTTCTACTTTTTTTTTTATTTAGACGCAATCACTAAAATTTTACAGTCTTTCTTACATATATAATACATACAAAACAATTAATTTTACTTCATTAAATCTCTATGCTACTCCAGATTATAATCAGTGTAGTTTCATCAAAATTTGTTCAGCTGTTTATCATAAATAAACCTAATAAGACTTCATAATATATAATTACCTGTCCTTTATATAGAAAAGCATATTATTATGTATGGCATATGCTGGTCTTTCTCGTTGTAGCTTGAACAATATCATACCAGCGTCATGACCAGCGGCAAATAGATTCAGGGTTGGATGTGATGATAGCACCCAATAGCTTGAAAAAATAAACGTAGATTATTAGATTAGATATCTATAACTATGTAGATAAAACTAAGTGTTTAGATTTCTAAAAAATATATTAATTAATTTTTCCGGATTTGGTAAAGCTTGTAATGATATGGGACTTATTATGATTTTTCTAAAATTAATGTCAATGAATTTTTTTACTTTTGTTACCTGAAATTACTGTTTTATCATAAAATGTAAGTCACACATTTAATTATTTGAATATGAAGACATAATATTCTTATATACATACAGTTTCATAATTCCATAATAAGGACTATTATATTCAAAATTAATGCTAGAATTGATGATTAAAGACCTATTTATGATGAATGATGATTATAATCCTACGTGTTGAAAATTTTTCCTAACATGTGTGATATGATGATTAAGTTACAGTGGCGTGCAAAAATTTGGGGTAGAGTAAGCAGAATATGTATGAAAGAAAAAAATGCAATTTTCATCATAATTTCCTCCTCTAAAACATTAATAATATTCGCGCATAAAGTTACAGCAGTCCGATCAGAAATAACATCTACATTTTATAAATCTATCAACTACCTTTAAGCCACAAAAGTAATAAATATATCTTTAAACATTTGTATTGCGTAATGTATGATCAAAAGTATGAAAGTAAAAATTAAACAATCCTACTAATATTAAAATTGCGAAAGTTTGTGAGTATGTATGTTTGTTACTTCTTCACGCTCAAACTGCTGAACCGTTTTTAATACAATTTTGTATACAGGAAGCTGACGTCCAGGAATAGCACATAGGCCACTTTATATGCCGGAAATCCGCGGGTAACACCGCGGGGCGCAGCTAGTATAGGTATAATTGTTGCATGGGCAGGATAAGCAGTACTTATTTGATTAAAATGATATAATACCGTTCATGTTCTCTCCTGAATGTGTGTAGACAGACTCGTTTCGTCATATCCCAGACCCTAATGGATTTATCTTCACTATTTGACAGAATCAACTCATGTCTTGCGTGGAATAAGGCACATGATACGTTGTTGTAATGTCCACGACACGTGTCTACTTCCCAAGCCTGGAATTATAATTATAATATATATGAACAGTAATACATGTAATATGAAAGATGAATTTCTATGAGATTTGATATATAATGTTGTATGTTTTTAATGAACAAGTATGTTCATTAAATATGTTTTTATAGAAAATAAAACAAAACAAAAGGGATACATTACAAACTTATTAAAATCGGTGACGATAAGTTTGGAAATGATGTCTCCATTTTGACAAGTGAGAATGTATGTGTTTTTTTTTGCCCTTTACCATTCCTAAACCCTTTCCCCAACAACCCAATAGATTCCGAAGTATAACACATATAGGGAACAACTTGGATCATACACAATGATGACTACCAATCATTAGATTACATTAGGTTTTTAGACATAAAAGCAACTTGGGGTGATCTATAAAATATGTCACACATTAATAGGGAGGGTAGGTATCACCAAAGTGTGATATTGTTTAGGGACATGAGGGGGTCAACAGTTTTGTGATGTCACATATTAAAATTTAAATTACCAAAACGCGAAGTTTGGATGTTAATTGAAAATCAAAAAAAATACAAACTTGATCTTTATTTATTAATAATTTAGCATTCTCGCTATAAGATAATCTCTCATGCAATTTTCCCTTAATTATTATTATAAAATATATAAATAAATTTAAAAACGTGTGACATCACATCAGGAGGAGGGGATTAAAGTGTGACAAAGACGGTGAGGGGTTCGTATGTCCTAAAATTCATATAACGTACTTTATAGATGGCTCCTTATCACTTAAAGACTTAGGATAGGAATTTGTATTTTTTGTTTTTTTTTTATGGGAAAAGGGAGCAAGCGAGCAAACGGCCTACCTGATGTATATAGTACTTTCACCCATGGACATCCGAAACGTAGATTTGCGGAGGTGTTGCCGCCCTTGATTGGGGAAAAGGAGAGGGGGGGGGAGAGGGTGGTACTTCCCCGGTCGAGCCAACCCATGTTTGAACTGTAGTAACTTGAACAAAGCTAGGTTCTACCACCTAACAAGTTTGAAGCATTTAATGGGTATAGTAGATCATATATATACCTTAGCATCATTCATCCTCCACAGTTTGACTTGTCTATCATCAGCTGCGGACACTATGAGCGGCAGGTTTGGATGGAAGGACGCCCAATTCACTCCACGATCATGACCTTCTAACACATGCTTTACAACTGCATCCGCCTGTAACAAAATATATAATACATACAAGAATACATATAGAATTAAAGAAACTTGTTTGGAATTATTCGCATATTTTTTAGTAAAAAAAAACAAATACTCTCAATGTTGCGATTACTTTTCAGCAATCATGACCATAGACAAAATGTGTCTTAGATCTCATTACATATTTAGAAGTTAGAACCTAGTTCGTAACATTTATTTAACCCAATGGTGGCATTCATTTTAAATTTCAGAAAAAAAGGCTGGATTAACTATGATTTTTATTCTGTCACTAAAATAACTAATAATTATTTACTATTACATATATGTTTACTTAAATTATATATAGATAGTGAAGATTATGTTCTTGGAAATAAATCATACATTGAGTATCTAAACTTTTTAAATGTTTTTTAGTTATAACAAATAATATATGGTACAATATGTTTTAAGAGCAAATTAAATTAAATCTCTTCTCTGTATGACTATTGTTTATCTGCCACAGGGTATAGTGAATATTAAAAGCCAATGTTTTAAATACCTTTGAGGAATTTGAATCATGTGAAAACAAAAGAAACATAAAAGGAGATATGCATCTCACCTGTATGTGATCACAATTACTTAGAAGTGATCAAAATGTTTTGCCAATTTTATACTATTATGATAAAATACATACAGTAAATCCAATAATCATATTTGTTTTAGTGTATCTTTATAATTATTCTAAGTCTATACCTGTCCGAAGAGGTCTGTAGCTTGTGGATTCCTGAGATGATCAGCTAGGCCTGTGGGTCCCGGGGCCACACTTTTCTTCCTCAGTCCCGAGAAGTCCCAAACCCTCACAGATTGATCCAATGAAGCTGACACTAGAAGATCTTCGGTCGGATGAAACTGTGCGCACATTACATAGTGATTGTGCCCAGTCAGTACACTGATGCATTGACGGGATTGCCAGTTCCATATTCTTATTGTCTGAAATAATTAAACAAATAGTTTTTTTTATTATCTAATTTTATTATGGGCAGCAAATATGTATAATCATTAGCCTATCAAAGCATATTGCTGAGTAAAGACCTCTTCTCACATGGAGAAAAAATATAGTAATTAGTAAATTCTAATAAGAAATTTAGGTAGATATAAAGTTATAGGTAAAGTATAGGGATTTTTTACATTTGATAGAGTGGGGTAGCAATGGTCTTACCTGATCATCTGAAGCACTTAAAATCCAAGGGTACTCATGATGAAAGAAAGTTGTGCGAATGTAATCCAAGTGACCAAGTAGGGTGAAAAGGCATCTTCTTTGCTTGTAATTCCAAACCTATAAATATAAAAAACTTTAAAAAAATACTCAAGAAAAACAAATTAAAAAACAAAAATAAATTGTAAATACCAAGTCATACACTTAAGTTACTATCAGACATCGATAAAACCAAGAGGCATTTTGTGAGTTATTTATCATGGCTAATAACATTGTTGGTAACTGTTGCTTCGCGAAAACATAGCAGGATGTAAGTATGTTGTACACTCATACCTTTATTTTATAATCGTCACCGCCGGAAACGAAGAGTGGCTGTTGAATGTGGAAGCAGATACCGCGGACGGGACCATCGTGTTCGTCAAATTTCTCCAGCAATGTACACATACGATAATCCCAAAGTTGAATTACACCATTATGTAGACTCGTCAAAACCCACGGTCGCTTCGCGTGAAACGATATCCCTTTCACCCTAGCTGACTTTGTTTCGAACTTTGTCAGCATGGCTGGTGATTTTGTATATTAATTCGCAGTATTTTCTTTTTATTTCACTTTAATTTATAACAATTTCGATATGCTGTATCGACATCTCAAACGTCAAACCGGCTGACGTGACACGTCTGAGCTAGTGATGTTGATTCATGATGTGTCGGTTGAAACCAGGAATTTTTTAGAAATTCATCTATTATGTCGTTAATTTGAAGCTTATAATCGTAAAAAAAGCCTTCTAGAGTCCTATAAATTAAAAATATGCCAAGTTTTTTATAAATATACAATTTAAAACTATTTTATTAAACCTTCACACAATAATCTATTATAATTAATTCGAAAAAACTGTTCTTTACGATGAAATAATCTTTCATGAATGTTTTTAAAATTTCAATTTCAAATATATTATTATATATTACTATATTATATAAATTGTATATTATGAATAAAGAATTAATAACTCATGTGAAACTGAATAGGTTATTACTAAATGTCAAAAATGAAATTAAAATTTAAAGTTACAAGTTGAAAGAAGTTGCCTAGTGTCTACCTACCGATTCAAAATAGTAAACAATCTGATATTAATGTTTTGCTTTAATGACCAAAATTTTTAATATTCTCACCTTTAATGGTTATATATAATATAATATTAAATAATTCGATGTATTGAAGTAATAGACATTGTAGCTTCCATAGTAATTAATGAAATCAAGATCTACCAAGTAAACATAACCTATAGTTCAAAACATGGAGACTGAAACCATAAAGGAAGTTGGCAAAATATGTATCCCGGGAATGAGATTAAGTTCATCAGACAAAGGACATTTATCCGGACCAGGAACTTATGAATTAAAAGGTTACATCTATTCAATGTTGACTGGAGTCTTAAAAACCGAAGAAGATGAAGAAAGGAAGGTGATTAAGATTAATATTAATTTAAATTAAAAAAAAAACTTAAATGTAATTCGAATTTCAAATGTAGTTGTGTGTTTTGCAAACACTAAAAAAAAGTATTTCCTTAGTTAGGAAGTTATGTTTTGACTTTTTATATATAATAAGAAATCTTTTCAGGCTACAAAAATATGCGTGGTTAGTCCAAGGACACCAAGTGTATTGCCAGTAACAGGGGATATTGTAACAGCTAAAGTAACTGTAGTTAATTCAAGACAAGTCAATTGTATCATACTCTGCGTAGGTCCATCGCCACTGGTCAGGCCTTATAGAGGAATACTAAAAAAGGAAGATATAAAATTCACAGATAAAGATAGAATAGATCCATATAAATGTTTCAGACCTGGTGACATCATATTAGCAAGAGTTGTATCCTTTTTTTAAAAAAAATCGGCTTTATAATTTTGTTTTAAAAAAAAAAATTAACTTGTTTATGGTCATAATTTTTTTTAATATTTTATAATTTTCTTAATAATAACATCAGTTGCCCATGACTGAAATACATTGGTATCATCTGTCTACTGCTGAAAATGAACTTGGAGTGGTGATAGCAACTGCCGAAGGTTCGCCTCAAGGAATAAGTATGGTGCCCATAAGCTGGTCGGAAATGCAATGTCCGAAAACTCTGGCTAAAGAACCTAGAAAAGTGGCCAGAGTTATACCGGAAAATATAAATCAAGCTCTATTTCCAGTGGATTCAAAGGAACCACAGAAACAAAATGGTGTCGGAAATAAATAGTACTTTTTTTCTATTGAATTTTATTTTACTATAACATAGTATTATTTCCTTGATACAATTTTTATGTCAATTTCTTCTCTACTGTTTTACAAGTATTGTTATGCTCTGTATATTATTGTTGGTCAATAAGGTTTATATATGGAAAACTATAAATAGGAAAATTATAATATGCCTAGATGACCTTAATTATTATTAATATACCTTATTATGAATATTATTCAATGTATGCTACATTAATGATAAATTATTGATTTTGTTTTATTTTTGTAAAGTTTGAGACTGTTTCACATAACATGAAAAAAAAATTGACTTCAGTTTTTAATTTATACATTGGAACACATTTACATTTTTCTAAAATGATTTAAAGGAAAAGATCTAGTTCTATTAGTATAGCGATGTGCTTTTCTACGTGATTAGGATTTCCAGTACAAAGTTTTCGAACTCGAGGTGAAAAAATGTTCTGATTTAGAAATCTATCAAATTTATCCTTAGCAATAAGCTTGAACCATCTTAATCACTAAAGTACTTGTTCATCGTAATAAGTAATTTATGTCAATACTATATTAAAAATGTTAAAATAAAAATACTGAGACATTTAATACTCGTGTACCTAATAGTTATGTAATATCGAGATAGTGAACGTGATGTTTGTGTTTACCCTTATGGACTTATTTCTCAAGAAATAAATACCTATTTGCTTTATATTTTAAAATAAATGACTTTATAGATGTCATCGAATAGTTGGGTTTTACAAGTTTATAATATAACTAGCTTTTGCCGCGACTTCGTCTGCGTGGAATAGTGACTTCCGGCAGATTTTTGGTTCTTCCCACATAGTTCCCGTTCTTGCGGGGTTTTCGGAATGGTCGAGTTCCCGTAAAATTTTCAGGATAAAACCTATGTTTTTTTTTACAATGAAGTACTCTTAACCAACAACATATTTATTTGTTTGTTTGAATAAAGATTAATATTATTATGTTGATACAACTTAAACAAATTATTTCGACCAAATTAGGTACCATAAAAACGGTTTTTATGAGTTAATCTTAAAAGATAGACATATACTGTCGCGGACTGTTTTTTAGATCATTAAAAGAGCTATTATTCTTTAATACATATTTTTTATGTATCTTGAACCGTTTTCACGGCGCACGCAACGGAAGGCTTCAAAGATGAAATAATTTCTCCCGTTTTTTACACATTTACCACTATATCTTTGCTCCTATTGGTCGTAGCGTGATGTTATATAGCCCACAGCCTTCCTCGATAACTGGACTATCCAACAGAAAAAGAATTATTCAATTCGAACCAGTAGTTTCGAAGATTAGCGCTTTCAAACAAACAAACAAACAAACAAACAAACTCTTCAGCTTTATAATATTAGTATAGATATACTGATAATTTGGATGAATAATAAAAGTATACTATAAATTTACACCTTTATCCTATGTTATTATCCGTTATAAATCTAGGTTCATGATTTATTGAGCAAATTTACTTGGAACAATCTTTAAGAGATCACGATTATCATATGTTAAATATTTACAATAATTTAAAAATTGTGTTAATTTTCTTTAACTATAAAGTAAAAAATATACCCATTTGATTTTTTACATGAAATACTTGAACAGGTGTCATTTATCAACTTCAATGCATTCAAGCTTTATATAAATATCTTTGTCAATGTCACTCAGTCAAATCAAGAATCCAATGTCAATTTTGTAGATAATTTTTTGTCGTATTTTATTCCACAACCGAGTACTTACAATTTTTGAAATTACGAAGATTTACTTAAATTTACTTTTATATTTCATTGTATAGAAGACATAGTACATTCCAGATAGTGTTTATAGTGTAGTTATTTCGTTATCAAGTTAAGTTTTGTGTACATAAGAAGTGGTTATTGTTGCAGTGTTTAACACTACTTTGACTGATAAAGACGTGAAACGAATGAAAAATGAAGTTTGCTGAACATCTCAGTGCTCATATAACGCCTGAGTGGCGAAAACAATATATCAATTATGAGGTATTTAAATATATTTGTTGTGTTATATATATCCTTTAATGGAATAGTAGAATTTTCTCAAAAAAATAATTTCTCCTCAAACCACAAATAAATGCTTTATCATATATCTATAGATATATTTTCTATGTATATAAGTATTATATGTAAATTAATATCACATGTTTTCAATAGCACTTTCATTTATAGACTAATATATTGGAGCTGGTATATTTGATAAACATTTTTTTCATGATTTCTGTAAAATATAATTAATATTAATATGAGGCGATAGTTATTTACTGTAAAAATCTTCTATTTTTAAACATTATTTTGTTTTAAATGTGTACAATAAATATTTTATTTCTATATTGTTAATAGGAGATGAAAGCTATGTTATACACAGCTGTAGAAGAGGCACCTTCAGCTGAAAATGTTGAACCAGAAGTACTTTCTAGGCATTTTGCTAATTTTGATGAGACATTCTTTCATTATTGTGATCAGGAATTGAAGAAAATTAATACATTTTATTCAGGTAAATAGAATTGTTGAAGTGTATATTATATTTGTTCTTATTTAATTGTCTTAAAACTAAGGATATCTGTGTATATTCAGATTAATAGTAATTATTGTGTATATTATTTTAAAAAAGTTTTTTAAACTTTTAATGAGAGAACTTTAAATTGATATGTTAAAAACTAACAGTATACAAGGGGTATAAAAAGATATAAAAAATAATATTGTTTACAGAAAAGTTAGCTGAGGCTACGAGGAAGTATGCCACATTACAAAGTGAACTTAAATCAAGGTTTGATACAATCAAACCAAAATCGGGAGGTGATAGCAAAAGGGCAATACCTAGAAGAAAGGTTCAGGAACTAAAGTTGGCCTTCAGTGAATTCTACCTTAGTCTTATATTATTACAGAATTATCAAAATCTTAATTATACAGGTTTTAGAAAAATATTGAAGAAACATGATAAGGTATGTACAATTTTTATATATATATAGTAATAATAGTAGAAATAATAAAAAATAATGATGGAAAGACAAATCAGTAAGCTCAATGTAGTTAATTATATATGTATTTAGATATTCTTGTACAAGGCAAAACAACTGAAATCTACATTTGGATCACATAATAATGTTATTAAAATAAAGCCACATATTTGAATAATTTGGGTAACAAATAGCATTCATACAAATCTATATAAAATTCATGTTAGCCATAAAAACAAAAACTTTTTGTTGGTATGCCATAAATTTGGATTCTGGCAAAATAATCACATATCAAACAAAGTTATGCTGTCAATCTATTGTTGGGTTCGAGTATTTTTTCTGAAGGAGTCAAATGGAAGATGGGTAGGAACTTAAAAGCTAGCACCGTATATGAAGGCGAAATATGATTTTCAGTGTCCCCTGAGCTAAATCATGAAGTTTAACGTGATTTAAACATGGGTTCTCCGCTGGCGTCCCACTGGTAGAAATGGGACCGATTACTGGTCTGGCCACAAGTTATTAGCGACGGGGTGATCCGGAAGCGATATTTGAGGGTTTTAGGAATCCTTATATTCTCCGTATCATGACCCTACCGCCACAGCGAGACATTTTTTCCAAAATGCACTTATCGTTACTCGACCTATCTGCCGTCACCTCGTTTGATCCTGTCGGATTTGTCATGTGATTATATGACGATGTGTGAATGTATTTAGGTTGAAAAGCACGGACATTCGGTGTATATCTCCCGGATAGATGCAAGACATAGGAAATTTTGTTGAGTTAGTTCCAAAAAGAAAGATTTTTTTTTAAGTCACTAAGTCCTACACAAGTACATTAAAGAAATCTTATCTCGTTCGTAGTAAGCATTATGACGAAACACGCTGCTGATACTTCTATCAATATAGCTTTCTGGTCTCTAGCCGAAGTAGTCGATACGTAGTTTCGTCATTACTAATTATCTCTTCTGGCCAAACCTGTTAGGATATTATCTCATACATGAAGGAATAAAGTAGCACTGTTTGATTCTCTTTTCGCTCAAATATCCCGTCTTGGCCCCATATTAACCGCATTATAATTTACCTGACTGCGGTTCCTCTATGGCATGTATCGATGGTAGAGCCTGGCTGTGGTTAAGTAACAACAGCTCGAACATGTGCTGGCTCGACCGGGGATATACCACCCTCTCACAGAAGATCGGCGTGAAGTATGTAGTTTAATGTTACCTTTAGTCCGATGAGTGAGAGAACCGATTGTCATATTCCTTTTCTCACCCTTTCTTCTCCCTCTCCTACAATCAAGGTCGGTAAGGCATAAAGAATGTAGCAGATATTCATGGGCGACGGTAACTACCTTCCATCAGGTAGGCCGCCTACTCGTTTGTCGCCTTTGAAATAATAAAAAAAGAAATAAGTTCGTATCAGTAAACAGATACCTAATTAGTAGCATAGGCGGTATTTCAACAATGGTGCTATAAATATGTATACTCGAACAGTCCAATTCTGAAACGTTTGTACCGCCTCTCTTTAATAACTGGCATAGAGTCTAAAACTTGGAAGTTTGCCAACGTGGTATCTGTGACGAAGAAAGCATTTCGTGTAGACTCTGATAATTATCGTCCTTTGTAAAATTAGTAAAATATATTAAAAACTGGCACCTCATGGTACAGTGAACGACTGCCGGTTTTCTGGTGTATGCCACATTTTCATGGAAAAAGTTCTTCAGAAAATATGGGGAAACTCTCTCGTTTTAATTAAAATCTCGGAAAAAAATAGTATCTGGCACGATAGTTCTTTCGGTAAGCTTTCAAGCTATGAAATATCCCCTGGTCTATTAATTCAGTCTGGATTTCTGCATTTTCTACAAGTACTTTTTAATGGCTGTCTGAGACATTGTTAGTGATTATAAGGATTCCTCAGGAATCTGCCATCTCTGAAACTTTATTTTTACTGCATATTAACGATCTCTTTATACCGTTTTTTTTGGTAACGCAAGCAACAGCACACTTGTGAAGTGATAACCAGTACTTACTGGTTATCACTTTTAGGTTAGACCTAAACTTTTAGGTTAGGTTAGTCAACATCAGATGATTTTGAAAGAAAAGTCATTCTGGGGCCGAATAATTTCACATTTCAGCTGCTTTCTTCTTACAAAGCACAAATCTTGCCGTTTGTGCAGATGTTGCTATATGTTATTCAATTAGGTCCATGATTTTTTTATATTGATTCTATCGAATCTTTGAACAAATGCGTACAATATCCGGGGTCTCTATATTATATTGGAAACACTATGAAGAGTGTGCTGTGTGACCAGAATCTACATGATATAATTCATATATCTTTCTGGGCCACTTCGCGTCTGTGTATCCTTACACTAAAAATTGTAATATGTTCTACGAAAGGATGAAGTTATTCACATATAGGCTACATTTTCTCTTACTATCTGATGATATGACATCTATGTACAATCCAGTTCCAATTAAAAAAAATCTATGTATTATACAGGGTGACTGGTGAATTACTATCGATACTTGAGGACGTGATATTTGACGATCATATATGACAAAATAAAAATTAATATAACATAAATATTAATAAACTTCTAAGTAAAGTTAACCAAAAGTTATGTAATTAATAACGCATCGTGTGAACACCCTACAGATTACGTATACACACACACACGCGTGCGGCGGCGTGGTGTTGTATCAGCACGCCGCCGCTCGCGTTCACACTTGGAACACTTGGACGTGTCCACACTTTATTTATTTATACGGATATTTGGTCAAAAATTAAGTACCTATTTTTTTTACATAATTTAAATGAGAATCATGTACCGAGTATTCTCCTTAAATATTGATAGTAATTCACCAGTCACCCTGTATATTATGTGTAGATCAGTTTCATTCAGAAAAATACATTCACATTTTACTACCCATAAAAAAAACGGCAATTTAAATGACATTGATTGTAAGTTATTTTATATTGTGATCTGTAACGAGTTGAGATTTGCGGTTTCTACTCTTCTATATATAGATATTTTTAAATTACTAGGCTTAAGGATTACATATCAAAAAACTTTGTTAGATTTATGACTGCCTTAAAGACAATTTTTAGGGATATTCAAATACGTTTATGTTTTTGATTCCTTAGTAAATCCAGAAAAAGAAATTAAATATATAAATGGCCTATAAACCTTGTATGTAGTCTTTAATCCCTACTAATATTATAAATACGAAAGTAACTCTGTCTGTCTGTCTGTTACGCTTTCACGCCTAAACCACTGAACTCATTTTAATGAAATTTTGGTACAGACATAGAGTTGACCTTGAGAAAGAACATAGGATAGTTTTTATCCCAGACTTGTGAAAGGTTCTCTTGGAAACGCGATATAACTGAAATCCACGCGGGCGAAGCTGCAGGCGGAAAGCTAGTGTGAAATATATTTTAAGCTCAGAATTATATTTTGTGATTTTTATGATAACATTAGCATTCTAAATATAATACACAATAGCCCGTTAATAATTTTAATGATAATTTCTTTTTGTTCCTATTTTAATTATTTAATTGAAATGTAGCTAACATTTATGAATGAATTTAAATTTTTCGTTCATATTTTTTTATTAGCCATTGTTTTATTATCTCTACTTTTTACAATCGCAACATCCGACATATTAGTGAATGAGTTCGCTTTTTATTGTAAAAAGGTTGTATATATTATCAATTATATTGTAATTAAGGTGATAATATATAGAAGTTTATAAATAGTATTGAATCTTTTCATACAGTTATTAAATGTAAGCAATGGTGCACAATGGAGGGCCGAACACGTGGAGACATCACATTTCTACACAAACAAGGATATAGATAGACTAATAAGCGACACAGAGGCAACCGTCACCAATGATCTAGAAGGCGGTGATCGTCAGAAAGCTATGAAGAAGCTGAGAGTACCACCTCTAGGAGAACAACAGAGCCCTTGGACGACATTCAAAGTCGGGCTGTTCTCTGGATCATTCATTGTTCTGGGGATAACTGTTGTTCTTTCTGGTGAGTATAAATCCCTACTAATTCGAAAGTAACTCTGTCTATCTGTCTGTCTGTTACGCTTTCACGCTTAAACCACTGAATTGAGTTTAATGAAATTTGATACAGAGATAGAGACTAGAGTTGACCTTGAGAAAGAACATAAGATAGTTTTTATCCCAGACTTTTGAAAGGTTCTCTTGGAAAAGCGATATAACCGAACTCCACGCGGGCGAAGCTGCGAGCGGAAAGCTAGTATTAATATATAAAACAAATTAAGTTATATATCAGATATTCTTAGACAAAAAAAGTAACATTGAGTAAGTTTATAATCTACATTGAAAAGTAAATGTCTTTATCTAACGCACAAACTAACTGAAAAACAATATAGCAATAAATATAATAATCTCTTGATTATAGTACGTCCTTCGTGAAATATGCAAAGTATAAATTGTGTTGTTAAAACAAAGTAATCTTATCTAGCTTGTGGCTAGTTCAGAATTTATGGAAATATTTATTTAGTTGTGAAATAACATTTGGTTATTGCACATAGAATATATGTATATGGTGGAATTATTTGTTTTTCATGACCTAGAAAATAATAGAAGCGAAATTATTATCTGTGTAGTTGCAAATTATAGTATAGATGTTTACTCTGTCTTATTTACGATGAATCATAGAATCTGTATTTTAAAATAGATTACAGAAGATTGTCAAGCAAATGTATTTTTTTTAAATGACAGCTGTCAAAATTTTATGCGTTCAGGAATTTTACTATCAATGTAAACGTGAAAATTTTGAATTATTTTTGGATAAATATTGGTAAACTCTTAACAGTTACTGCTCTCCGGACATTATAGTATTAATTTAGGGTATTGAATGAGAAAAGGGAAACGCTTTTTAGGTAGTGTGACGATGAAAACATCTGATAATCATACTGAATCAATTTGAATAAAACTTTTATAACTCAACACCCGGACAATAAATCATGATTTATAAACATATCCCGTCTTTGAAATATAACGATAAATATTGCTATAACTGTTTTAATGGTACAGTTTTTGTTGTAAAATTAAACCGTAGTTTCCAGTTTTTCATTGATAAACCTTCGCATATGACAGTAGAAACTTATATATGAAAGAAAAACTGAAAAATAAGTGTTCAGTTAGACGATTTAAACTTGTACTAAGACTATATATATAATATAAGTTCTCAGATATGATTTCAATGAAATTAATGTTTTAAAGGTATTTTCTACGAGGGTGCGACAGAAAACTTCAAAACCGCCTTCCGATTGTACCGCGGTCCGTTTCTTCTTGTTGAGTTTATATTTTTCATCGGCGTCAATGTATACGGCTGGCGTTCATCTGGTGTAAATCACGTATTGATATTCGAGTTGGACCCAAGAAAGCATCTTTCGGAACAGCATTTGATGGAATTAGCTGCTATTTTTGGCGTTGTTTGGGCCTTGAGTATACTAAGTTTCATATACAGTGAAAGTCTTAGTATACCGCCCTACGTGAATCCGTTGGCTCTCGTCATTATAATGCTAGTGTTCCTCATGAATCCTTTGAGGGTGTTCCGACACGAAGCCAGATTCTGGTTTTTGAAGATATGTGTAAGTATCATATAGATTTATTTGTATAGATGATACATATATTGTCCTTATTTACTTTTCAACCATTTGTGGTACTCTATTGTAGTATTTTTTGTTAATAGTTAAATACAGATTAAGTCTTTGCTTCTTGTTTATCTTGGAATTATTATATTTTTTAAACTTTTTTTTTCGTAATTTGAACATATAATTATACCGAAAACGACGTTTTAAAATAAGTCTATTTTTTAACTCAGTTACCAAAAAAGTTCAATTTAAAAGTAATGAAGGAGTAACTCATGATTAGAATATTATTGTTATAATTTAAACGGAAACAGTATTTGCTCATGTCCTATCATAATGTAAATTTTAATTCATTCTTATAATAACAACAAAAATGTCTATTGAACATCCATAACAAGAGTTTTCTTTAAGAAGACATAATTTTGATTCTTTATCCTTTCTATCATTAGAAAGTCGGTACATTTAGTATATTTATTATATTATCCATAATTATTGTAGGGTAGGATACTAGCGGCACCGTTTCTGCCGGTTCTGTTCGCCGATTTCTGGCTCGCCGATCAATGGAACTCATTCACGTACGCCTTCCTAGATTTCCACTACCTGATAGCCTTTTATATATCTGGCGCTGATTGGTTTAATGTTAACAGTAAGTTTTTATTTATATAATCAATATTATTAAAGTTTGTTTGGGGAATCTCATGAAAAATTGAAAATAAAGTGCATGTTAATATAATAGTTATTTATTCAATGAAAAGATATATTATTCCAAAAAACTCTGGTTGCTGTTATGTAAAAGATTTAATTGTTAAATTTAAACGGAGTTTTTGGGCTATTAGATTCTACCCAAAAATAATTCGCTTGTATAAAAATTATATGTAAGTTTTCATTAAAAAAGTCTCCTTGGACAAATAATTATGTTATTCCAACACAGATAATAGTCAGTTCAAATTTCTAATAATACCAATACTATAATTTATTTGAGTTCCTTAATTATTAATTTTAATCAAAATTTCCTTCAGATTCTTTCGAATCTACGAAGTGGTTTATAATAACTAGAGCGATAGTTAACATAATACCCGCGTGGACTCGTTTTTGGCAATGCCTTCGAAGATACAGGGATAGTAAGGAAGCCTTCCCCCATTTGGTAAACGCTGGCAAATATTCGACTACCTTCTTCGTGGTGTTATTCTCCACACTCCGGACTATATATAGCGGTGAGTTTTATCATTAAATGTTTATTCATTATATTTTTATTATGCTATTCTATGATATACACTTGTTTTGTTTCAAAAAGTTAAAATGGTTTTCATTCCAAAGCTTTAAGGTATCGGTGGGTTTTGAAATGTATGTATAGATTATGGGTCATATATTAGTGCATTCAAATTATTATTCTTAATTCATCCAACGTGACAGTATTTGAGTCTATCAGTAGTTTTTAAAATAAGATTTAGACCAAAAGATAAAAAATAGCAAATTATCATATAAACTAACAATTCTACCCACAATATCTCCTCAGTGAATTACACGAACACGTACGACAACCCGTTCCTATACGCCTGGCTGGCCTGCCAGGCTGTGTCATCTACGTACACGTATACGTGGGACGTGAAAATGGACTGGGGGCTACTGAGCGTGGGTCCAGCCGCTGAGAACAGCCTGCTGAGGGACGAAATCGTGTATAGTCCGTGGGTGAGGTGGAAAAATATATGTACTAGTGGCGCCATCTATACAAACTAATTATAATATAATATAATCCTTAGAATTATTTTCATTATCGATTACAATTATTCAATATTGAACCTTTGTAATTTTGTTATGGCAACACTTTAAAATCATATGTATTACAAGTGTGGATATATTACAACATATACAACACCATATTGCGTGAACATTTGTTGCGACTTCAAGAAAACTATACTGAACTGACTTTAATGAAATTTTACAGTAATGTAGCTTAGAATGATATATTATGTATATAATGAATAGAATGATATATGCTATAATATATAGAAAAATTCAATACACATAACTAAGAAAATTATGTTTTGTAATATAGATTGAACTGTCAATTAGTAACCGTTTTTATTTTATTATTTATTAATTTCCCTCTGAACTCTGGCAGACGAAATTACGAACAGAATTAGTAATTTATAAAATTCTACTTTTATTGCTTGGTTCTTATAACATGTTTTTTGCTAATTGTCGTTATTTTTTAATTATAAGCTGATAATATCTTTTTATTTTCTAGTTTTATTACTTCGCGATAGTAGAAGACTTCGTGCTTCGCTTCATCTGGGCTCCGTCGTTCTTTTTGACTGAAAATAAAATTGTCAGCAGTGACACTATGGTCTCTATACTAGCGCCGCTAGAGGTGTTCAGGTATAATATATACTGAAAAACTTACTTTAATTATATGAAAAGACTAAATTAATAAATTATTTCAATATACACAACATATAACTTATATAAACGAGGAATGATGAAAAACCTAATATTGTAAGATTAATTCTCGAGTGATAAAAAAAATGTAAATGTTTAATTTTGATTGTTCCAATACATATAAACATTTAATAAAAACCTAGAAAAACAGTTAAACTTGTAAATCACGATTTCAGCCAACGTAATGGTAACCCAATAATGCTCTATGCTAGATATGCAATATTTCATCAAAATACAAGCCATATTGTATCTTCTTCCTGGCAATTTCCCAGCTTTAGCCAGGGTCTGCCATACAAGAAATATCGTATATCTACCTATAACATATACAATATATTTTACAAGCATTATATTACTTTTTCTTCAATATTGCAGGCGTTTCGTATGGAATTACTTCCGTTTGGAGAACGAACATCTGAACAACTGCGGTAAATTCAGAGCCGTTAGAGATATATCAGTGGCGCCTCTAGACTCGTCGGACCAGGCGCTCATAGTGAGAATGATGGACCTGCCTGACGGAGTACTAAACAGGTGAGAAATAGAACTAGAATTAATAGTAGGAGTAAAAAAATAAGAACAAAATTCTAGGAGTTAAATTAAAGTTAACACAAGAAATAAAAAAATACAAATGAAACTAATATATTCGGATTTTACTTCGCGTTTTTTTTATTTTTGATTACAAACTACATACTCCCGACGTTTCGGCTACTTTACAGCAACCGTGATCACGGGCAGACGAGATGTGAGTGAAAATATTAGTTTCATTTAAATGAGTATTCGCGAAAATCTTAGATCTGATTATAAAAAAATACAAATTAATATCAGAACTAAACAATAAGACTAAAATTCTAGGACAGACAAATCTAAATTCTAGAACTAGCATCACAAGTTCATAGTCTTTAAAGACTTTGTTACAGTTCTGATTAAAAAGCGTGATTATGAATCGTCAAACGATACACGTAGTATTTAACGGACATACGTATAGTTACCATCTAACAGCGCCATCTATAGTTTGTTTCATGACTGTATGAACAGTCGAAAAGTTATCACGTGGGATGTACATAAAATTTGGAATTAATTATAAATTATACGATATTCTAAAATTTAAATCGAACTACTACACCTCTGGAAAGTTTCATCAAAATCCGTTTAGTTATTTTAGTGTATATAGCATCAAACATTAACATATCCTCACAAATATTCTCTTTAATAATATTAGGGCTTTGAAAATTATCTATGATTTAAATTAATTGTATCTAAATCTGAAATGTTATTATTATTTATTTACTTATTTTCATCATGTAACACTTATTTCAGGCACGCCAAGAAGAAACATCTCAAGAAGATAAAAGACAACGACAGGAAGCCGCTTCTGAAGAAGGAGTCCATACAAGACCTGCAGATTGAATTAGACTTGTCCTCCAAAATGTTGTAACCAACTGTGATATAATCGTACATAAGCAATGTATTAAAGAATTATTTGAATTATATTTATAAATATTCTAGAAACATCTATTTTATTTACTTTAACTTCTACTTTAGAGATATTATATTAATTGAAAGGAAACTAATATTTTTGTTTTTAAAACAACAATACTCGCGAAAGTCTTAGATGTCATTATATTATGTTAATGATCTTTACGAAATTTAAAACAATAATTACATATGTTAGACAGATAGCAACCATTCTATTACGCCAGAACATGATTCTTTAGTTATGCCATAAAGAATTAGACTTTTATTCTATAATTTTGACTTTCTACTGTATTCAAAATAACGCCATCTGTTATCCAGGCCGAAAAGTATTTTTTAAATTTTACTTGAGAATTCTTAAGTTTTTAGCACTTAGTAAGTTGCATATGAAATTTCATATTTTTGATTTTGGTAAACACTTAAAACCGGCGATATTTGTGAATGTCAGTAAAGAAATGATAAAAGTCAAACCTAACCGGTCTTAATTGAAATTCCAATTCTTGACATTTAGCAATGAAACATTAAATTTCATGGGTTGAAACCGAAATGCGAAATGTGTAACGCAATTTAAATTCTTTATTTTCTGTATAGAATAATAATTATGTTGGTAACACTGTTTTTCTTTAATTATAAAAACAGAATCAATCTGAAAGAAAGGCTTTTTTCATTAAAAGCGATTTCGAACTTTAAGGAAATAGAATTGATGAATAAGCGTTATATATTTTTATTTACACAAACAAACAAATATTACTAAATAATACTTAGTTTATTAAAATTAAATATATTTCAATTTGATATTCAAACCTGGTGACGACAATAGTTTAGGTGGAAATAATTCTTCTTTATTACAAGACAAGCCTTATATAGAAATTTTAAGTTCGAAGAATGTGTATAATAACAAGATAATATATTTCTTTATAATAAAGAAATAACACTATCAACAGTACACTGTCACATCGACCAAAACTTTTGTTAAGACAAAGCTAACAAAACATAATATATATATGTATATATGTATTATAATAATCTTGTATTAGCAACATTTATAAAATTAGTTAAAGGCATTCATTTTTTTCTAATACAGCTTGAAGCCCGCTGTAAAATCTGTAAAAAAAATTATTTTTAATATGAATTAACTGATCAGAATTAAAACAAATAATAAAACTATTTATTTTCTTCAAAATCTATGTTTCAATGCATTTTCAAGCCATTTAAAAGTAATATTAGGTTCACTATAAACAATAATATCATGTGTAATGTAACAATGTTTAATATAACAATAGTATCATGAGTATGATGCTTGAACACTCTTAAGAAAAGTATATTTTAAATATTAAGATTAAGTTGATATCTATACTAATATTATAAAGCTGAAGAGTTTGTTTGTTTGTTTGTTTGTTTGAAAGCGCTAATCTCAGAAATTACTGGTTCGAATTGAATAATTCTTTTTGTGTTGGAAAGTCCAGTTATCGAGAAAGGCTGTGGGCTATATAACATCACGCTACGACCAATAGGAGCAAAGATATAGTGGTAAATGTGTAAAAAACGGGAGAAATTATTTCATCTTTGAAGCCTTCCGTTGCGTGCGCCGTAAAAACGGTTCAAGATACACAAAAAATATGTGTTAAAGAATAATAGCTCTTTTAATGATCTAAAAAACAGTCCGCGACAGTATATGTCTATCTTTTAAGATTAACTCACAAAAACCGTTTTTATGGTACCTAATTTGGTCGAAATAATTTGTTTAAGTTGTATCAACATAATAATATAAATCTTTATTCAAATAAACAAATAAATATGTTGTTGGTTAAGAGTACTTCATTGTGAATAAAAAAAAAATAGGTTTTATCCTGAAAATTCTACGGGAACTCCACCATTCCGAAAACCCCGCAAGAACGGGAGCTATGTGGGAAGAACCAAAAATCTGCCGGAAGTCACTATTCCACGCGGACGAAGCCGCGGCAAAAGCTAGTTAAATATACAATAGTCAGTGGTGGCCTAGTGATTAATGGCCCGCCTCGCGTGTATCACAGCGCAGGTTCGATCCCGGCAAGTACCAATATGATTTTTCTGAATCATATGTACTTTCTAAGAATATTTATACACCACTGACAGACGGTGAAGGAAAGCATCGTGTGGAAACCTGGACTTATAATTTCACAATTATATGTAAATTTGATATCACTAACCCGTCTTGAGCAAGCGTGGTTATTAATGCTCTAACCTTCTCCATGTGAGAAGAGGCTATGCTCAGCAGTGGGCTCTGATTAGCTGATGACGAAATATACAATAATATATATTATTATATTCCCAAAAGAGGGTTGATGTCGGGCAGGCGGCCGGTCGTAAAAACAATTAGCCAAAACAATTCACACATCTAAGGCAGACCCTGACTAAAGCTGGGAAATTGCTAGGTAGAAGATATATATACTTATATACAAAGATGTCATACATAGTGATAGTGTCCTATGATCGGAGGGCTTCAAGTCTCGATTGCATTTCATCCAGTTCCGTTTCATCTTCCTCGGGTTCCTTGCTGGTAGAGGGCGCCTCCGCTGTCGGCGGCGCGGGGGCTTCCCCTAACTTGCCCTGGGTCAACTCCCACAAAACCTGGATACATTGATTTATAATTATTAATTAAATCCTTACATTACTGTGCAATAAATATTATAAACTTGAGTTTGATTGTGACTTAGTCATAGATTTAGGGAAATTAATAAGCAACATTGAATAATATAGATATGGTAGTTAATAGGCAGCGCCATCTATTATATGACACGTGAGTTTATATAAAATAAAACTTACGCCGTGATCCCGCGAGAAAAAACGGAATTTCAAGATAAATCATACATAGCTAATATGTTATTCTGAAGGTATATATGGAAAGGCTGCTTGGAGGAGCAATCATTGAACAAAAAATGAGCTTAGTGTATGATTGACATAAGGAATCTTATTTTTAATAAGCAAACTATTGATAAAATTTTTGTCAATAAACAGCTCATGTTGGATCAATTGGTCAGTTTTACAAAAGTGGTCTATATATCTGTAACACTGTATTTACGATAAGCTTTTTTAAAATGACTTTGTCTATGTAATCATTAGTTCTTCTCTGGCATTACAGCCATTGAAAGCAAACAGCACTTTATAGCTCCACTGTTTAATTTTAGGGTTTGGATCAGGATTAAAGATAACATATGTCTATCTCCAAGCATCTATTTATCTCCATACCAAAATTCATCAAAATTTGGCCAGTGGTTTAAACTTCAAGAGGTAGCAAACAGACAGTGAGACTTACTTTCGTATTTATAACATTAGTACAGATATTATTAACACTTATATTGCTTATTAATAATATAAAAAGTCATTAATTAATAATAAAGAGGTAGCAAACAGACAGAGAGACTTACTTTCGCAAGTATAACATTAGTAGGGTTGCCATTGACTCTCATATTGCTTATTAATATAACAAGTAATCAATTAATCAATTATGTAATTAATAATGTATTCCACAGACCTTATCAACTTCACTCTGTGCCGCTTCTTCCATTTCCTCCTCATCCTCCAAGTTGGACATAGTATCGTCCAACATTTCCTCGATAATGCCAGCCTTCATCATCTCTTTACTCAATTCCTGCATCGTACTTGCGATTTCTGGTAAACGGACAAGAGCTTGCATTGCTTGCATCACCTGGATTGGTTTTAAATAATAATTAAATACATCGATACATAATTTTACTGTAAATAATTTATATTATTGTCTCCATGTTTGATAAATATATATATCACTATCAAATTTAAGAAATAGCAAAGTTTTTCTAGTAAAAATTCCGAGATTTCATGTTGTTTGATTTTCATGTAAAAACTACACAAATTTTATGATTTTTAACCTTTTCAATTAATAGTGCCAAAACTTAAGTAAGCCGAAAAAAATATTATGATTAAACTTTATAGCCAATATATATTTTCTTTCAAAATTAATATACTTTTATGAAATGAATGTACATATATCATAGGTTTTTATGCCATTTTAAAAAATAAACTAATGAGTATAAAAAGAATAAAGGAGATTTTCTATGTCAGAAATTTTGTACAATAATTATATTATGTTATATACAAACAATTGATAGAGTAATAATTCAATTTACAGCATTCCCACTATAGTTTAGTATTAAATATTACAAGGAACTGTAAATAATCATATTATTGTATATTCCATTAACATATTATTACCTCGGTGGATTTTTGCAATGATCCAGCCACTCTTAAAGTTGCTGTAATGAAAAAACATGTTTGTTTTTATTTTTCTTATACAATTTTGTGTCACACAGTCCCAAAATGTTACTAACCGAGTTGATTTTTCATTTGCATTTGTACAGAATTAAGATGTGCTTTGCTTGTGTATATTTTGCTGATAGTTTTTCTTGATCTTATGATTTCTTTTGCTAATATTGTACATACTTGTTTGTCGTTTTTGGTCGCTGCTTCTTTTAGAGATCTTTTAACTTTTTCCTCTTCCCTTTGAATGGCTAGATATAAGCAAAATAATACGATTTTATTAAAGGTAAATGTTTTATGATATACATAAATGTATACAGGTAGGGCCAGTAATGTATGAATGATATTGTTTGTATGCCAAAAAAACCCAATTATTATTGATTAATTTAAAAAGGTGGTTAATTACTGCATTATGATTACCTCTTATTTGTCTGTCCAAATTATATCCTTCTTTTCGAATTTTGTGAGACCATTCATTTACCTAAATCAAATTAAAGAGTTCCAGATCATAATTATTCTACATTAAACGAAACTAATATTAAATAGCAATAATCCACACCATTTCCTTGGGATTTCTTTCCGGTGATTTACCAAATAAACCCATTTTTAGTTAAAAATAATTATAAATAAAACTGTGTTATGATTTGAGAACGATGCCTCATACAGATTTCAGTGATTGACATTGACACATAAATCACTGATGATCTCATCTGGGTGTATTGGCCATTGGGTCAAAATGTTAAAAGGTATTGTCTTGCTGAAGTATAAATATATAAGGTACTTATTTTTTTTAATACTGTCATCAAAAAGATTTTTAAAGATAGTAATGTAACTTTTTACAATAATTATTATTAAAGTATTTTTGTTGTATGTAAATAATTTACTTATTAACAAATGACAGTGACAGTTAGTTTTATTCAGTTGTCAAGTGCCGGTTACCGTAGGAATATTCGAATTCGAATATTTCACTCATTTCTAAAGATTAATAAGTAAATTTGTGTTAATTTAGCAATAGCGATTAAAGATAAAAGAGAATCAGCAGCGCTACAGCAAGTAAGTACTATTTCATTCTTAGAATTAATATTGTTTATTTTGTAATCGCATTGCTTGTGTTGCGAGCGATTTCTTTTTTTAGCTCAGAGTGCAATTATGCATGACATTCTCAAACCTCTATTACATGTATAAATATTTCAAAGTAACTGGAACATTGACAAAATACTTATTTTTAAACAGTTATTTACTACGGCCTTTTTTTAATTCATCTATTTTGCGAGTGCGTATTGTATTGTATTTATATGTTGGCTCATCAAAATACCACCAGTTCTTATTTTCAGTTCTTATTATATGTGAATTAAATAGCCAATTTATTTGTATTAATAGTGTTTTTAATGCAATATAGTCATAGTAATTATCATCATTTTCTGTTTAAAGAAAGAAATATTAGTGTTACATAAAATAATATGTTTGAAACTTTCTTTTTGTTAATCATTCTTCAATTTAATTTTACTTCATTTCAAGTGATTCATTTAAAAATTATCAAGATTTATTACATTTAATATTAGCTAAACATTGTAATATATGTATAAATGGCATCTATTTAGTAATAATAAATTACCAAGTAACATATAAAATGTGTCCTTAATTCTGGTAAAATAGTTAACTATTATATAACCTTATATTTCTATTATATATTAACAATATATTCTGTAAACTACAAGTCCAGTTCAATGCCCAAATATTGGCTGTTAAACAACTATTGTGTATTTATAGCCAGCAATCTGTATTAGAATGTATCACAGTTTTAGTACTGTAATATGATATTGTTACAATTAATATGTAATTATAATTGTTTCTTACAACACTTTCGTCAATTTTTATTCTTGTCATTTTACTTAATATCTTTTCTAAATAAAAAGAACAATTACATACATATTTAATTAAAAACTTTTATAAAACATGTCTTATAGGTTACATAGGTTATGGATGAGCATATTATAGTTATACTTAAAGTTTTATATATATTATAAAGTCTAAAGTCAGTTTGGATTTTGGGGTATGAATATGTTTGTTGTGTTCTCACACCCAAGTAATACCGAATGGATTTTGATGAAACTTTGCATTATTGTAATCTAGACAAAAGAATAAGATATAAACTATAATTTATCCTTTAACTTCATCTAGTTCTTGCAGGATCAAATCTTAATAGTTGTATTTAGTGTAAGTCACTTGACCCATTGTTTGACACTTGACAAAGACCTTACTGATAGGTAGTAAACTCTGTTTATACATTTCTCTTAAAGCCTAGCCAGTTCATGAAAAAATCCACGATGAATCTGTTTTAAGTGAGTTTGTTAGTGAGCTCTTAATATTTAATGACCTTGATGGCATAGTCTTTGGGGATGTTGGTTCTCCAAGGAACCATAAGCTCTATTATCACAATTCACTTTAAAATACACTCATATCTACCAATAATATAAATGAGGAATCTTGTGAGTATGTATGTATGTTTGTACCTATTTCCCTCCTCAACTTACAGTAATATATCTTAGGTATTAGAATAAGATAAAGTCATTAGCTTATTCTTATATTCTGTGCAGTTACTGCTGATCAAAGGCCTAAGTTGTATGAGATATTAAGTAATGTGACACAAATTATAAATACATATTTGGGCCTGTTGACTACTATATCTATCATTATTGAACCTTATTCTGAAGTCCACCTGCACAAAGTCTCAAACAAAAACTAGTATAAAAATATATTTAAAAATACAAATCAAAATAATTAATTTAAAAACTAAAACTTAAAATAATAGCTAATTGAACAGTAAGGAATTAAATATGCACATTTAAGCTTCAAAACAAATAAATAAAGTGTTTTTATCTCTGAAATAACAAAAAACTTAAACTATTATAAATACATGATTAAAAATAAACTTAAATTATTCAGGAAGCACTTCGCTAGTTTAAAAATAAATCTATTTTTTGTAATAACATGTTATAATCTAAATAAAGTTTAAATAAAAATAAAAAGAGGTTATATTAAATAATTATCTCATAATGAATGTAATTATAATTCTGTAATATATTTTTGGATGGCAACAATGACGTAATCTTATATACATACATAGAAATGAATTGCTGTTCGTTAGTCTCACTAAAAGTCGAGAACGGTTGAACGGATTTATCTTATCTTAGTCTTGAAATGTTCGCGGAGATTCAGGGAAGGCTTAAAAGCTGAAAAAAATTGAATCATTTCCATGAAAACCCTAAAAACAGCCCTTTTCTATTTACCATACAAACGTTTTTTTTACATTAGATTTGACAACTAACTAATATGTCAAACATTCTGTCGTACTTCAGAACACGGAGATTTATGGCTTAAAGGTAAACTTCAATATATACATATATGTATATGTATTTGTCGATTGAGGCAGTACGAAGTCTCTCGGGTCAGCTAGAAAACAATATTTGTCACTTGACACTCAACTGTGGGCAGTCTGAATTTTGCAACCTTTATATTTATAATAGGTTTTGTTACTAGTATTTGTATAAACAGGTTTAAATATTGATACATAACCTATCTCGTTAGGGGTTGACCATTAATCACGTGATCTTTTTTAGCATTTTTTAACCCCCCCGCCCCCATTGGTGATAGGTAGTGAGGTTTAAGACCACCCCCTCTCCCCCTTCTCAACATCACGTGTATTTTCAGTACCTACAACGAATCTTAAAATTTTCTGAGTATAATCTTAATTTAAATACAGGTATAAACTATAATCTTATTTTATTCTGAAATTGAGGACCATAATAAATTAATATTTGTTTAAAAATCGCGCGTTAGACGAAAAAATAAATACACGAGATATCTTACTACACCCCCCCTCCCCCTTGTGTTATTTTCGTGATTTTTATCAAACCCCTCCCCCCCCCTTTCAAGCCTCACGTGATTAATGGACAGCCCCTTATGTGTATAATTTTTTCTTATTCATTCAATTTAATACATTTGGTACATATAAGTCCAAATGTTCAGCTTGTTTAAATATTAGGTGCCATAGAGATTAGTATAGCAGTAGATTATCCATTGTCTATAACATAAATTTTATAGTATTGAAGCGAGTCGAATATTACTGACGCGACTATTGTGTTAATGAAAAAAATCTAAAATAGTAACTCTGTCTAAATCTTAAAACAATAAGCAATAAAAAAACATCCGAATGATTATAGTTCGTGATTTAAATAATAATTGAGGTTGAAATTTTTTGTTTAACCTTTTGGCAGGGTCCAATTTCAACTTTAATTCATGTTTATATGTGTGTGTGTGTTTATTTAATTATAGATTCTCATACTAATGTAGAAATAATTGACAAAACGTTAATGGAAACTACCAAATTATTTTATTGTAGACGATTTAGGTGTAGACTTGATCAACATAGTTTGAGAAAATACTTTTAGAAGAGAAATTTTAAAAGAAAGTGATAACAAAATTATCGACTTACTTGCTGTTTTGTTAATGTCGAATATTTTTCTAATTAGTTATTAAAATATATCATAAAATATATATATTATGCACCTTTGGAAGTCAATAGTTTAATATATATAAATATTGTGTACTATTTTATTCTATAATATTAAAAACGAGAGTCTTCTTGAATCTTTTTATTAATAAATGTGGAGTTTTTAATATTTCAATGTATCAAACTCCTTGGATGCCAATGTACCCAGTCAAAAGACAGGAAGCTGGAATTGATGTTGGGAATTCTTAAGTCGAATCACAATTATAGGGCTGTCACATTCATTAATGCTGACTACATGAATACTATAAATTACTCAATAATTTTACTCAAACTCGCTTTTAATATGATTAAAACTCAAAGTTGCAATCATGTTAAAAGTATAAATGATCTTACTTTTCTATAATCCATGACTTTATCTTTCTTATTCATACGAAGCAGTAAGCATACATATATCTCAAAATTTCACCATTGTGACAACCCTACATATAGAATTATTGATACAACACAAAGTAAACATTTTTAAAGCACTTCTATGACATTTAAACTGATTTCTAATAAATCTAAAATAGATAATAGTATTAAAAAAAGAACTAAACAAATTTAGATTTAAAAACATGTTTTGTTGCGGTCAATGTTAAACAACTCTAATTACGTAAATGGTACACATGTAGTTTTATATATTTATATATGTATATTTTTTCCTTTCCAACCATTTTAGTTATAACCTTTTAATCAAAAATAAACAATGAAAAATGCTTTTAAAATAAAAAAGCTTATTTCGTTTTCTTACGACATTATTTGTGTACTATGCTTAATACAAGTTTGCATTTTAACTAAATACGTAGCGTATCCCATAATTTGTAAAAGTTTATGAGTAAAAACTTTTAACTTTCCATATGTAGTGTGATGATGGATTAATTAATTAATTCAAATAATAATGACTTTAATGTATCTATTAAATAGAAAGAGTAAGAAATATATGTATTTTTTACTCTCTCCAACTTTAAATTTCATATATATTTCATATTTTGGTCCTAAATATGCCTGAAAAGTATTCCGTACTTTAACATTACTCGTTTAAGCAACTATTT